GGCTGAACAGATTCAGCTCAGCTAACCTCTCCTCATAAGACATTCCTCTAAGACCAGGAATCATTCTTGTAGCCCTACTGTACGTTGCCTTTTTAAGGTATGCTGACCAAAAGAATTTATTCTACAACCTGGCTTCCCTAAGGTCCACCAATGTTTCTTTTTTGCTAGGTTTACTGGCAGTCCCCAGGTTAAGAATGTCCTTCATATGGACAACTCTTACTTATGAGCAGGCTGCCATAAAGCCTATTATATTAAAAATGTGGGTTAAATACACTGGATTGAAATAATGAACGCGCACTGCTTTGTGACACTCGTGAAAACACTGCACAGCTTCAGCAATTCATTGGCTCGAGATGCAGTACAGTACAGTACAGCACTGTATGTAGTTACTTTTATTAAGTACTGCATTATTATTTTTCTGACTTGCCTACAAATTCTGAAAAATTTAAAAATTCATAAAGACAGACTTAGGGAACGGATCTCATTCCTAATTTGGGGGCTGCCTGTATTAGGTGTGTATGTGGCTTGTATATTGTTTTCTTTGACTGGTTACCTGTTTCCTGGCCTTATACAGGTGCATCTGCAGCACATGATGTGTATTGATGTTCTCTGTGTCTCTCATGCTCTTCCCCCTCATGTCCTCCTCCACGTCCAGACACACTGTAGGCACGTTGTCCTGCCTTTAAGACCAACATGAATAAGAGCACTGCTGATTGCAGAACACACTTTCCTAAGACTGGTTGTCCAGAAGTCCAATTTAAGCAGTGCAGAATATAATATGAAGAGATATACCCCTGGTACTTACATAATACAAGTCATCGGTATGGTATAAGGTCCTGTGTCTGAGCTGTCAGAATTTATGTCTGGCATAATATCTGAAATATCTGAAGCCAACTTTTTCTTGAAGTCAAGGTTTACATTGTTCTCAGACCGAACGAAGGCCAAAGATCCACAGCGTTCACCCTAAATCAGGAAATAGGGGACTTAATTGCATGCTACCAGTGGATCACAGTCATTCCCCAAAGAATAAACATTGAAAACACTCTTTCTAAACAAGGACACAAGAAATCAAATGCACCCACAATGCATTTTTCAGCCTTAATTGAAAATGGCAATGCAGGTGTCTAAGATCAATATTATGGATTTTGTTCTTTTTTGGTAATTCAAGTGGTAACATGGCAAAGAAGTGCCAGCTTCAGTGTGATCAAATTATCAGTTCTCAAGTGATTACAAAGCTGAAAAAGAGAATGAGGAGCAAAGTACACGGTTCAGTTCATGTTCTATGCCATGACCTCAAAATAAGGTCATGGTTTTCTTTTGTTAAAGCCCTGTTCTTAAAAATGGGATTCTAACTTCCCACGCCTGGTCACTCCCAAGCTGCCCAGGTGCGTCACGCTTCTATAATGGCATGCCTTCTTACACGCCGGGGGATAATCAGAACTGAGTGCCTCAGGCATATTACGATACATCTCTAAAGGCAACGAAGCGCAGGAGGCGAAAGATCACCTCGGTGACGTAGCTCATAGCATCCTTCAGGTTGAGCTGATGGAAGACGTTGAAGAGCTGGTCCTGCTTCTTCCGGGCCGATGACTTCATCAAGATGGGGCGCAGCCACTTTTCCTCAAACTTATTCCACCTAGTCGTGAGACCAAAAGGGAATATTCACGTTACACGCAGCAACACTGACACACTGACAGCAGTGCGGTGAATCTTATGGAGCACAACATGCGCAACATAGAAATGATGTTTCATCATTCAGTTGCTTGACTTACTTCTCTCTCATATAGTTGTGTCCGATTTGCCCAGATATGTCTTCGATCGCTATGAGAATGTGATCAAATGCCTGAAAAAAACAAAGAATAATGAGGAAGCACCAGTGCCAATAGGCTGGATTTCATACCTGGACGAGGGACCTTATTGTAAGTAATTTGAGTCCTTACCCTGTTCTGTAGCTTCTCTATCAGGGAAACCTCAGTCTTTGATGTCCTTTTCACTTTCAGCCAGGTGACCAATGGTTTCATAGTCACTCCCTGGAACAAAAGAATTGCTATTATGCTTTAGAGCTTCTTCAAAATTCACACAATGTATACTTAACTGGCATTATTTTCATGTATTGTTATATGGAGAGATGTATTTCATCACTATTAAGTCATTTGTAAAGGAGAACTCATGGCTGCATTTTATTAGTCTAGTAATTGTCTTTATTTATTGTAAGTCTTACCTGCAACACAACAGTAAAGTACACTACTATGAGTGTGGTGCTGATCATGAGGTTCTTCTCCCTGACTTTATTTCCATCCAGCATGAAGGCCAGTGCATAGGCAACAGCACCCCTTAGACCACCGTAACTCAAGACCACCTGATCAATTATCTCAAGGGGAATGAGTCTGAAACGGTTCAGGATCCAAGTAAGGGCGAAAACTCCTGTGACAGAATAAGAGACGCACAATAAACAAAAACAGCCTGAAACCTGAAACTGGTTATAAAATTATCATCTAGAGCACTGGTCACCAACCCTGCTCCTGGAGATCTACCACCCTGCAGCCTTAATTTAACACACCCGATGCAGATAAGTATTGGAGCCTGCTATGTTGAAGCTAAGTTGACTCTAATACTGAGATGCTACTGAAGGGCCTGATTATCTGCATCAGGTGTGTTACATTAGGGCTGCGCCTAAACTCTTCAGGGTGGTAGATCTTCAGGAGCAGCGTTGGTGACCACTGAGCTAGAGTATAGGCAAATTAGGAATTCAAAATGGTTTCTAATTTTTTAATTATTTGATTTTATTATTTGATTTGCAGTCTTGATGAATGCAATATTTTAGAATGGCTTATGCCAAGACAGAAGACAGTGAGAGCATCAATCACAGCCCCTTTTCAGACAAGTACAAAGGATGCCATCTTACCTATGATCCTGTACACTAAAACAAATACAAGTGTGAGTAGTATGAAGGCCGTGTTCCACACCCAGATCTCAGGGTCTATGGCAGAGATTCCCAGGAAGACGAAGATGATGGTCTCCGAACCATTGGCGAACACCTTCATGGCATATCTCACCGTCGTCACCGACGACTCCGCCATGTTGGCGTTGACGTACTTCTGACAGCAGACGCCACAGAATGTGATCCTACAACACAGTGGAATGAAATGGCTATTTATGCTACTTATATTAAGGGAACAGTAACACAATTAGTATTACAGGATCCTCCTCTGCGTTATCAGACAAAAACTACAGAGAATACATGCTTGCATGTTAGTCAGCAGTCTCGATGAAGGCAAAATTTTAAAGCGCTTACGCCAAAATGGAAGAGAGGGAGAGCATTTCAGCTGTCAGGTAGGAGAGGTAGGAGACGATGAAGATGAAGCCAGGCTCAATGATCTGGATGTTCTTCGTGCACCTGGTCAGGAGCGAGAGAAGGACGGCGAACACCACTCCAACCAGCGCCCCTCCAAAGGCCACCACAAGGAAGGACACTGGGGGGGCAGCCGTCATTAGAGCACATGGGTGCCAGGACCAAACAGGGACACCACACCGGGACAGACGACAACAGTGAACAGTTTGGTCACTGCTTTCTCTCAATGCTTTTCATTCATTTTTATTTTATTTTGGGTGAGAAAAATGCCTGGAGGAATCATGTATATTTCACTTATTGTTTTTTTAATTAACTAAATTATTCAGCCATTTTTGTTATTTATTTCAAAATACTAGAAGTGGTCAAACTACAGTGGTCTGAGCAGATGCCAGGAGGGAAATAAATTGTATTACAGAATAATGAAAAATAAGCTTAGTTAGGTGACAATTTCTAAGAATGTCATGTCTAAAAGACTCCATGTCTACATTCATAACACGTTATACCGCACACATAAAGCATCATAAAATTGTATATAAGTTTTTATAAAAAGGCATAACACATTATAGCCATGTTTTTGTGCGTTATGAATGCTTTATGAAGCTCTCATCTTCTCATCAACATTTACAAGAGAAATTGATCACTAAAAAGGCCTACAATGTGATCTACTTAGATTTCCAGAAGGCCTTTGATGTTGTCCCCCACAAACGGCTCCTGCTTAAGCTCAAAGCTGTAGGGATTTTAGGGACTGTAGCAGCTTGGATCGAGAACTGGTTAACTGACAGGAAGCAGCGGGTAGTTATTAGAGGCACAATGTCCCAGTGGGCCTGTGTTCATAGTGGGGTACCGCAGGGTTCAATTTTAGGACCACTACTGTTCCTAATTTACATTAATGACATTGACACCAATACATACAGTAAGTAACCAGTAAGCTTGTTAAATTTGCAGATGACACCAAGGTGTAGCAGATACCGATCTAGCAGCATAGAGGCTACAACGGGATCTTGATTTAATCAGCGACTGGGCTGATACCTGGCAGATGAAATTTAACATAGATAAATGTAAGGTAATCCATGCAGGGAGCAGAAATATAAAGTAAATAAAAAGGCCAATTAAGTCAAGGGAAGTGATGCTATGATTATTTAATTCCTTGGTAAGACCCCACCTAGAATATTGTGTGCAGGTTTGGTCACTATACCTTAAGAAGGACATTGCTGCCTTGGAAAGGGAGCAACGTAGGGCTACGAGAATGATTCCTGGTCTTAGAGGAATGTCTTATGAGGAGAGGTTAGCTGAGCTGATTCTGTTCAGCCTCGAGCAAAGGAGATTAAGGGGGGACATGATCCAGGTATATAAGATTCTAACAGGTCTGGATACTGTTCACCCAAATGGCTACTTCAATATTAGTTTAAATACTAGAACTCGTGACCATAGGTGGAAATTAGCGGAAGAATATTTTAAAATGGATTTGAGAAAGCACATTTTTACACAGCCTGTAGTTAGAGTATGGAATAGTCTCCCTGTTAGTGTAGCGCAAGCTAAAACCCTGGGTTCCATTAAATCAGAGATAGATAAGATTTTAACAACTCTGAGCTATTAGTTGAGTTCTCCCCAAATGAGCTTTATGGGCCGAATGACCTCTTGTTTGTAAATTTCTTATGTTCTTTAATACACTATCGATACCTTCATAATGTAGTACAAAGCATCCTTAATTCTTATACTGACCATTATAATGCATTATGATGGTATCTATGGTGTATTATAGATGAGAGCTTCATTGGAACTTATGATGTATTATATGATGTATAACATGACATGACTACCTTATGCTTTATTAGTTCTTATACCAATCAATATAATGCATTATGAAGTTATCTCTAATGCATTATAGATGACAGTTTTAAGTAAAGTGTTAACTTTCGGTAGTTAAAGTATAGGGGATGATATAAAGCTATTATAAAGTGTTATAACAAATACGTTAATGATTTAGCAGAAGTAAAGAGCGAGACGGTGACAGACTTTATTCGCTTACCTATGCCTTTAATTATTTCTACTGCATTGATTCGATCCGCTCCTAGAGTTACAAAAGCGTCACAGACATTGTACAGCACCTGTGGACAAGCGAGGAAAAAGGTTATACGTGACTAACAGAATGAAATAATACTAGATTATGGTTCCACAATACCTATAATAATTGCATGTATAATACAAAGAATAATGCATGCTGAATGTTAAGGATGATTAGATTTTGTACATACCACTGTCACACCGTCGTTGAGGAGGGACTCTCCAAAAACTAAGATAAAAAGCACCTCATTTACATGGACTTCCTCAAAAACAGCCAGTACAGCCACTGGGTCCACCGCAGACAGCAGACTCCCAAAGAGCATGAATTCTAGCAGATTAATCTTCAGGTCGCCTAGAAAGCAGTACATGAGACATTGTTTCTTCTGGCATCTCACCAATCAGTGTGGTGTACAAGCTACACATGAATCTATGCATTTAATATTCTGCACACAAAACAACAACCATCGGATTTACTAGTACTTTCCCCTCACTGTTATGCAGTTCTGGGAATAGAATGATGAAATAAACAAAGTCTGTATACATATGGAGCACAGAGATGATGATGTTACCCATGATTCCGCCCAGGTAAACACCCCACAGTGAGAGGCCCACAGTGACAGCATTCCAGACGGTCCCCAGAATGGCATAAGTCAAGATGGCACCCATGTTGCCGAAGAAGAGCTTGTTGGGCATGAAATAGCCTGCGTCCAGGATGATCTGGGGCAGCAGGTAGTAGAAGAAGGTCACAGGGGTCAGAGTGAAGGTCTGGGCCTTGTCTGCCCCCCAGATCATTCCACCCAGGACGAAACCAATGAAGATGAGCAGTGCACTCTCTGGGATGGTCGCGGTCAGCTTATGGTTCAGTTCAAACACTGGAACAAACACGAAGAAGCAGAGGGACAATGAGAATCCTGCGGAGAAGTGTTACCTCCAACATTTGTCCATCATGATATCAGTGTCACAGCAATACCAACAAGAGACTCACCAATTTGATTCCATTTTGCTAACAAATCGTACAGAATGCTTAGTCAGATGTGAGATATAAATCTGCAGTCTCACTGCATCACCAAGCATCTCTGAATAGCATGAAGTAATATGTCTGTAAGATCTCAGCTGTTTTCATTTTTGGCCGCATCAGCTGGTCACATCGGTCTGAAATACCAACGCCGGGGGCATTTCTAGCTATTGAAAAGATCAGGGGCTTAAGTCAAGTTTACCTGGGGCTTGTCTGTTTTTTTATTTTGAAGGAAAACTGGCACTGGGGCTAAAATATTCGGGGCTAAGCTTAAAATACCCAAGTGATTAGACCTAAAGACACCCATGCCAACAAACTCAACTTCACTCATATTTCATTTTAAAATAAAATGCTTAGTTTCCTTTAGCAATTTTATAATACATATTATTATAATATAATACATATTATTATACGATTATAATATAATACAAACCGGAAAACAGACAATACACCAAGCTTTGCCAAGTTAAACATTAGATATCTCTCATAACTCACTCACTCACTATATTTACGTCTTTAAGTATAAAAAAATGTTACAAGGGAATCCAATGTATATCCTTATTTGGCTATATAAAGGTACTGATTACTTTTGTCAGTAATAACATTCAGGTCACTTAACTGCCAACATACCACAGACTGTAATAATAATATTTAGGGATGGTGTTGAAAACCAAGTGGATAGGGTTGGTGCTGTAGACGCTACTGCCAGGTCTTACTCACACGCTACTTATTGCTTAACTACCAATAATCTTTTGGCAAAGTGAAAAAAGACCAATGAACCATTATTAATGTTAAAAGTTCCCGTGGGAGCTGGTTTCCTCTTTCATTATGCCCAGGCACAAACCAGCTCTTCTCTTCACTAGAGATTGTTGAGACACAGTTCACAGATTTACAATAGTCACTCAATTCTGGCACAGATGTTGTGAAATATATTAATGATCAACTGGTTTTTTGGGTACAGAGTGAGAATAGAATATAAGCATTAAGGGTATAATTAACTTTGCCATTAACCTACTGTAGCTCTTTCTGCCGCCGTTGAAGCTGTCAGCTGTGAGACTGAACATTAAAATGAATGACCTCCACACTTCAGATTGCTGGTCAAATGATTACTCAACTCCTGTTTCCGACCTCTGCCTGCGTTCTCCAGAGGAGACTGCATGTAAAGTGACTTCCGATTGGTTAAAAATTAAAATGAAGTCATTCCGCTTTCCTGCCCCCCAGTCCCCCCAGTGGAAACTATGACAAAATAGCAAACTCACGTCCAATTGGCCAAGCCTCTGCCATGCTTTGAGCCCTAACACACTCTTAAGTTAGTGTACAGTCACCAAGAAATTCACCAGTGAACAATGGAACTGTGTTAGTCTGAGTGATAAAAGCACCCCCCCCCCCATTCGCCCGGTGTCATAGTCACAGCTCTGAACATTTAAAGCTCACGGCATCACAGCACCACACATGCCCTGCAGATCCAGCTGTGTGCCATCTGGACCTGTGGCATCTTCATGAATAAAATATGCAAGAGGAGAAAGTATGCCATGCTCTCTGTGTCCACTCTACAGATCCTCCTGTTTTCCGCTCAAGACAATCAGCATGTGCTGAACACTAGACATTACCCACTCGCTGTATGTGTACTGGTTTTAGTAAAAGTCTATCACAAGATAACAGACTGCTAAAATGTTAATTGGGTCATCATTTCAATTGAATGCAGAACATGGGCAAATAGCTACTGAAGAAGAAGGCATAAGAAACTTATTGAAAACACTGTTATGCAAATTACATATTGGAATTCTCCAGCTAAATGCCAATAATTTAAACAGCATCAAGATGCTTGGCTAGAATATCCAGTGATAATGTCTCACAGCCCCTGTTATAACCATTTTTGAATAAGTATATGCACGGATATTTTTTGTCTTAATGATACGTACCCAGCTTTGCCAGCCCTGTCACAAATATCCACAGAGCCACAATGTAGGGCTGTGTCACATGGTCCCAGTGAAGAGACACAATGGACAACTCTGTCAAATTTGTCCCTGAGATGTTGGCTGGCGGCGGCTGGCCCAATATGGTCATGGGCTTCCCATCCGTAGGTGTGCTAAAGATGCATAGGAAGAGCAGAAGCCAGAGGAGGCTGCTTTCCATCTTACTCCCCATAGCTTCCAGCAGCAAAGAAAGCACTGTTCACACTGTAGAGACCCCCACAGACACAGCAGGCAACTGACAAAGTGTAGGATATTACTGAACGCAGGGGACTTCACCGCTCGGATCCTGCCGTGCGACAGTGCCGGTCCAGTGAGGGCTGGGACACCTTAAGACACCCGAGAACATTTATCTGCCGTGCTAACCAGGGGGCGGGTCATTGGTTCTCAGAAAGACATAGTTAAGCTTTCATTGAGCAGGAGATCTTTGTGTTCAAAATAGGGGATTTAAGCAAAGTACATTCATATAATAAGATCCGATATTTTTTCCCAAAATCCTTTGCAGTATAGATCTAGTGTAGCTTTACAGAATTCTTTATGTGTGCCAGGTGGTGGCTTGGATAGCGCTAAAACAACTACTGGATTTAATTCATGGAAATACCATTCACTAGGTTCTGCAGTACAACAGAACGGTGAAACTGATTAATGCAGGAAAAAAGAGTTCTGGGATATTCTGACTGAATACCTCTCTGCTGCAGAGAGAGTAACATATTGGGGTATTACTATTGCGTTTTTTTTTTTTAATGGAATTTCAGATCTTTCACTATATTGGTCACTGAGAGTGTTGATCATATCGCTGGCTGTCCTGATATTCCTGAGCTCTCATGGAACATATATACAGAAACAGAGCCGAAGGCTGCCTTCCGTGTCATTGTCCCGTGTCAGATGGGGAGCAAAGCCCAGCCGGCTCTGAATATATGTGCCAGGAGGGTAAAGCATTTACACTGAGTCTCATTGTCTGCACGCTGTGTCATTCTGTTCCCATTGTTAACTTTCATTACCTGCTTTCATGAAAATTTAGAGATGTATATTGAATGTGGTCGCACTCCACCCTTTGTAATGTGTGTGTGTGTGGGTGTATATATATATATATATATATATATATATATATATATAACTTTTTGGTTTCATACATTAATCTGGCAGAACTACCCTCCAGTAATTAACACTTCCTCCTCTGTTTGGTTTAATGATTCGCAGCCTGAGCAGATCTGAGCGGGGGACAGAGGTCACGGAGGTGCGTATAAGGACATCGTCCCCGGGAGGGGGGCGTCCGTCGCGATGCGCCTCATGGGCCCCACATTTCGTAGTTTGTACAGCTGCTCACTGGTGTCTCCATCGCGAAATCTGTAGGTATGTCTCCTGTCATCACCAACCCCACAGAGGAATTTCAGGGAAAAGGTTTCAGATTTAAGTGAAAAGGTTAAGAATTCTGGTGGGCATGGGTAGGGGGGCAGTGCCTAGATCTCTTACATGGCACACAGAGATCAGAGATGTAACTCATATTATTCTCCAGGTGATTAACCCCATCCATAACTAGCTGTGCATGAAGACCATCAATCCCCTTTGCTCCCCGGACAGCGAATCATTAGCAAGTACAGACGCTCCTCTACTTACGAACGAGATACGTTCCGAACAGCCCTTCATAACTTGACATGTCGTTATTCAACATCATTTTAAGGGTATACGCAAGTACAAAGAACTTGGATGCTGGGAGTCCGCACGCTGCGCTGCTGCGCGGCGGGAGTAGCGGCCAGAAGTCGTACTGGGCGGAACTGGCGCGCATGAAAAAAGAATTGATGTTGCGGACAGGAAACGGGAGCCCAACAAACATAATTTGGACTTACAGTCCTCTTTGTTCGTATGTCTGAAAGTTCGTAAGTTGAAAGTTCGTAAGTAGAGGAGCGTCTGTATTGACTGTTTGTGACCAAGTAAACAGTCTTACTGTCATTTAATTTATTTAAGAGTTATGGGGGAATTAAAACATTGTGAAGTGCAATTTATTCAAACGTACAGTACATGGCCTGCCTGCATTGTCCTGGCCTGTCTCACCTTTGCTGCAGGAGGATAGCTAGTTGGCCACAGAGAGCAGGCCTTCTGCACAGCGGTGGAAGACAACTGCCACCAGCTGGCAGCACTAAGTCATTGCAGTCATGGTGCTGCCTTATTATTGTATGGCAAATTATAGTAATACCAGTCCAGGGTAATAGCCGCCTCAGTGTATGTGTGTGGAGGGGGGAAGGAGGCTTATCATTTCTTAATAATGATGACCAGATTAACAGCTAATTTCACCTGCTTAATGGCAGATCTCGCCTGGCAGGCATCTGGCACAGGACTGTTAAACATTGCTGAGGATTCCAGGTAAGTGCGCCATCGAAGACCAGCGTGAGCTTTTCAGAGAAGGTCAGCGGCACCTTGGGAACGCAGCAACATGAAAGGTGAGCTGAAATGGACACGAGTTTTGCATTTGTACAGCTGGATGGGCAAACAGAACCCCCCCCACTGTTAAAAGGCATAGCAGCACTCGGGGGAGGCGCCGACATATTCCACCTGCATCGGAAGTCCAGGCCGCTACTCAGCATCCATATTTCATGCAAAAGTCACTTTAGCAACTATAGTTACTATGCATACGTGAGCTGAAAATTTTGATAACATTTTTTAATCAAAACATGTCAGCCGATTGTATGGAGATGTATTTTTATCTATATCTACCAGCAAAGACTTATAACCAAAATGTCAGCAGGTGAATTTGTAATTAAGGGCAGGAGCTGGGGGGGGGGGTGTCTAACTGGTACAGCAATACAAGCTGCTTAACATGCAATATAGTGAGCAGCTTTACAGATGGGTGAGGATATGGCTTTGGCCTATAAAAACAATGTAATGCTGCTTCACGCTACCAGCCCAGACATCATTATCATGCTTTTCACAATTTCATCATATTGGTCTGTCACCTTAATAAGGAGCGATAAGACAGAGAGCTGGAAGCTGAACCGAACCTCACCGGAGGGGAGCACATGATGTTGGCAGTTCTGCTTGCCATTCCCAACTCCCACAATGCACTGGGGTGAGCACGCCTAGTCTTTATCAGCTCTCTGCTCTCTCTCGGTGAAGGGACCGACCAGAAGTGCGTCAATGTAAAGCCTGGCTGCCTGCTCACATGGTGTGCAAGTCATGTACCGGAAACCGTGCAACCACTGACCACTTTGCATCACCGAGCAGAACTAGTCACTGGAAACTACGGATTCTCAGTTTCCATCCATCCATCCATCCATCCATCCATCCATCCATCCATCAATCCATTGTCAGTTGTTATTGTGATTCAGTGCTAAGGTGTATGTCAGTGAACTCTGAATGACATGGCAGCCAATAACAGGTGACTCACATCAAGATACACACATATCTACAGACAGTCGCATAATGACAGGACAACTTAAAGCAAACTTGAGTCACAGAGAGCTGGAGGTATGTGACAATACAAACTGTCATTATGCTGGCTCATAATAATAATAATAATAATAATAATAATAATAATAATAATAATAATAAAAGCAGGCCAGTCCAAGCAGCTAATTCAGCTGGCAGCATGTCTTTGGACTGTAGTATTCAAGGGGAAACGGGGGAGATCTTGCAGACTGTCATGCAACACACACACAAAATAGTATCTTTCTATGGGCATAACCCTAATCCCAGCAATGACAACATTAACCCAACCCAGCCCTAACCTTAACCATTAACCTTAACGTTTGGCATTTTTCATTTTTTGATTGCAGTGACAGATTTTTATAAAACTGAATTTCCTCTTGCGGGGACTGAAAAAATGGTCCCCATAATGTCAAAATAACAGGTTTTTATCAGATTGTGGGGACATTTGGTCCCCACAATGTAATGTACACATGTCCCCCCCCCCCCCCCACAACACACAGCTCCTGTATTCCTATCATTAATATTCCTCCATTGATTTCTATTGGCATAATAATAACTATGATAACCTTACCCTCTATCTAGCCCTAACCTTAACCATAAGTAACCAAACAGAATACGAGACTTTTGGCCATTTTAGTCTTGTCACTGCATTCACGGATTTTTACAAAATTGAGGTTTATATTGTGGGGACCTAAAAAATGTCCACCCAAGTTAAAAACTACCAGATTTGTTCCACATTGTGCAGACATGGGTCGCTACAATGCAGTAAATACAAACCTACGCACACGCACACATACATAGCGTGGGATTCTGAACCCCGATGCTCAAAGTATGAACCAACAATAATGAAAAGGAGGAGAAGAAGGAGAAAATGAAGAAGAATTTATAGATATGTGTTCTTTTCTATTTACATGATTTTATATGTGTGCATTTTTCCAAGAATGACTTCGGTAACAAGGGAATAACACGAAAGGCTCCTTGGGCCGAAGTGAGCACTGTCAGATACTCTCTTCAGCCAATTAGAGAGGAGCGAAACGTGCATCTAACGTGTCGCTTCTGGCTGAAAAGCAGCCTGTGCTGGGGTGCCAACTGGAAATATAGAGAACTAGGTAAAGCTTTACTTCGGGGGGGATAGATAATGTAGTATTATGCTATTACTTATGTATTAATTAACCATGAACCTTGCCACATTGTTCAACACAACTTCAAGTACTTCCTGGTAAAATCATCAGGCTACAGTAAAGAGTGACCCAATGCCGGCAGAGGGGGTAAAACAGCGTCACTGCAGCACACGCAAAGCCGCCACTCACCCAGTTTGCAGAGCCAGCAGACCAGGACCCAGAGGGCCATCAGGTAGGGTTGCTCTACATGGTGCCACTTCCAGGTCACGATGGGCAGGCTGGTGAGGCCGGAGTTGCCTTCCGTCCCATTTGTGGCGTTGGTGTTGCTTTGGGGATCTGTATTATGTGCCGAGGAAGCCCAGGTGGTGCCGGCCAGCGCTGCCAGGAGCAGCGGCGTCGCTGCTCCCCATGGAAGCTTCATCCTCAGGCTGCTAGGCTCTCTCCGGGCTGCCTCAGCTCTCTCCGGGCTGCCTCAGCTCTCTCCGGGCTGCCTCAGGTCTGTCCAAGCTGCCTCAGCTCTCTTCGGGCTGCCTCAGCTCTCTCCGGACTGCCTCAACGCATGCTGCTCTCTCTCACTCTTACTCTCTTGCTCCTTCCCCGTTGTCAGCGGTGATGACACCCTCTGGCACGAGTCCCTGTTCTGCTCTGGAAGCCGCCCGTCTCGTGTGCACCTTTTTCACTGCAGGTGTGGCTCAGCCTCGCCAATTCCTACAGGTGACCGGGTGCCACGCCCATCCTGCGCAACGTGCCTGCTCTCCTCATTTACCAATAAACAGAGGTGACCTCTTCCCCTGCCCTCAGGCTAAATTAGCCTCAGTCCTGGATTTACGCTGGTATGCTGCTCATTGACTGGAGAGCAGGGGCACTTACAGTACCTGCACCACACCCAGCCAACGGTAGTCCCCAAATGAGACACCTGCAGACAGAAAATCAGTGACTTCATTTTCAATGACCAGAGGGAATGATTACATTGAGAAATTAAAGTGATTAAAAATGCAGTTCATATTATACTAAGTTGCATGTCTTAATGTCAATGATAGGGGCAATAACATTTAATACGTAGGAATCCCCTGTAATTATGTTCATGCAAATTACTGTCTGTTACGGTCCCAGACCAAATGTCGGGAACAACGCAACATAAGAAAAGGCCACAGACTTCGGTCTAACAATAATTTATTAACAATTCTTTATAATCAAACATTGACGGTTGCAAAACACACAAACACAAAAGAAAGAAGAAGAGCCCTACCCTTACTTCCTAAGAAGTATGAACCATTTGCCTACCTCCCAACCAAGGTCCAAAGGTAGACAACCAATTAGGTGAGTCTTCCGAAAACTAACTTACTACACTAACTGATCCTAAACCAAAAGTGCAAAAAGGTTGACAACCCATCAAAAGCAACATCTCCAAAAAAAACAACTTAACAATAACCAATACAAAAGAAGGAGAAAAAAAAGGTGCCAGCATATCAGCCTGGGGTAAAGTCAAGATTCCACATCTCCAAATGAAGGTTATTAATTTAAATCCAATTATGTGTGTCTCTGTGCTCAGAGTGTATGGCCATGTGGCAGGGGGTGGCAGGGGGTGGCATGGTGGTGCAGTGGTTAGCACTGTCGCTTCACGCTGCTGGGACCTGGGTTTGAGTCTCCACCATGGCTCCATGTGTGTGGAGTTTGCATGTTCTCACCCATGTCATCATGAGGTTTTCTCTGGGTATTCTGGTTTCCCCCCACAGTCCAAAAACATGCTGAGGCTGATTGGAGTTACTGAATTACAAGCTAAAAACATATAATGGACATAATTAACATAGTGTCACGTTGGCCTGCAATGATCTTTCTGCCTTTATATTTTCAATCAATCAGTGTTTTTTGTCCATTTGAGCATTTGAGCCAGAATACCTACAGCATTGATCGTGACAAAGAGAAAAACAAAATAACTGTCACTTTCCTTATGTCAAAACACGGAATGCCCCAAAATGTAAGAATAGCTAATATAGCTGATCTCAGGTATCTCTGTCTGCTATCTTCCTCATTCCTGTCCTCTACATTATAAATACAGGCATTGTTTGATGATGGACAAAACTCGGTGTTCACACAGCGGGTGAGGAAGTCCTAAAACATTCATAGTAAAGTGTCTGTGAGGGTTAGAAGTCAAGCCACAGCCCTTGATGTCATGAAGAATGAAGAAAACATCATCTAAATACAATTAACATATTTACAAACTTTAATACAGTATTAATGATAAATATAGTAATCCATGCATTAAGAGAGATCCAGATGCTCATGCTTTACTTTGGCATTAAGATCCCTTAAAAGGGGTGCACAAGGAATCTGGTGGTGAGTGAAAAGCCACACAGAGCAGCAGCAGGAGGATGGATGGTTTGGCCAATAGAGAGGTTAAAAGGAGAGAGGCTGCTAAGGAACAGATTGGAGAGAAGCAAGATGGCGGTCTGAGAGGTTACACTGAAACGCCATGGCGATGGAGAAAGGGTGATAGGATATCACTGGACTGGTTAAGGGGAGACCAAATAACAGTGGATTGGTTAAAGGGAGATAGGATTACATTGGACTGCTTAATGGGAGGCTGAATAACAGTGGACTGGTTAACGGGAGACCGAATAACAGTGGACTGGTTAACGGGAGTCTG